TAGATAGATAGATAGATAGATAGATAGATAGATAGATAGATAGATAGATAGATAGATAGATAGATAGATAGAATTAGATATACGCAAGGCACTAATTTTGCAAGTTCAGCAGAACTGAAGAAAAGTAAAAAAGAGCTCTGTAGATCAGATCAAAGGTCTAATTAGTCCAAGATCCTATTTCCCACAGGAAATGGCTTTTTCCTGATGTTCTTTCTTAACAATTGGGATTACCTATAGCTGAATACACCTGGCAGAAATCCATCTCAAGCAAACAGACCTGGGCGCCATGCAAAAAGCTGGCATACCCTGACGGGGATATTTCTATCTGAATACAAATGATAGGTATAAAAACCTCCAATGAAAAAATATTTCCTTCCTTGGGAGAGAAGACATAGCTCTGAAGTTAAACATGTCTCTCAGACCCTCAGGCAAATCCTTGTCACCTGCGGTTTACACAAACAGGTAATGGCTGAGATGAAAGGCCTCTGTTGGAGGCTGCGGCCAGCCAGAATGAATTATACTGTAGGAGATTAACAGCTATAAACCAGGTTCTTATGTTCCTAACCATTTCTGTCAGAAGGACTTTTAAATACATGTCCTTGACTTCTTTTTATTGGTTTCTGTTTGCAAAAACATGATGAAAATCCATCACAAAATATTTGAATGGATATCAGATTGCACTTAAATCCCACCTGTACATACTTTCAGAATCACAATATTATGGAATTTGAAGAGGCTGTTTAGGGCATGGAAGTCCACTTCCTGCTTAGTGCAGAAATCCATGCTGAAACCGTCAGGTGATTGCTGCTAATCATTGATTAAACACAGCCAGTGGCAGAGAGCCCACCACCTTGTTTGCTAATTGGTTATAATTTCAAACTGCTCTTAAAGTTAGGAAGTTTTTCCTAACATTCAAACAAAATCTGCCTTTCTGTCACTTAAGCTAATTATTCTTTGTTCTATATTCTGGGATAAGAGGGAATGGTCTTGACCTTCTCTATGATAAATCCAAAGAGTACCCCCAGCTTTTTCCAAGCTAAGCTTATCACATTCCCTCAAATTCTCATCGTAAGATTTCAGTGTCAGTCCCCTGATCATCCTCATTGTTCTTCTCCTACTTCAATTTGTTTGCATCCTTAAGTCAATAGTCCCTCGAGTATCATGAAAATCTATTGATCAGCACAGCTCTACATCCACCTACCTGTCATGCAACCCACCCCATACATAACTGGCTTGCTAATCAGAATGTCATGGGGTACTTTGTTAAATGTTTTGCTAAATGATTTTCCACAATTCCACACTCTTTTTAAGAAGTTGCCCTCGAAAAATATGAGTTTGGCAAGTCTTGTTCTTTCAAATTCATGCTGATTTCTAGTAATTGTTGCATTTTTCCAAGTGTTTCAAGGTTTCTTTTCCGACCTGTTCTAGAATGCTTTCAGGGATTGGTTAGAATGATTGATCTGTAGTTCTTCAAATTCTCTCCATCTTTTAGAAACAGAAGCAGCGTTTGGCTCCTCCAGTTGCTAGATTTCATGCTTTCTCCAGATTTCTTAACCAACCTATCAAGGTGCTTTTTCTACTGTATTAGGAAACCATATACTGGCCCTGGTGATTTAAATTCATTCTTTTATTAAATATTTTGAAAAGGAAGATAAAAACTAATACAAACTAATATTAAGTAAGAAAAAGAAAAGAAAAAGAAATCAAAGAGAAAGCTAAAAGTACAAGAAAAGGGGAAAAGTGAAAGAAAAATAGAAAAGAAAGAAGTAGATTCCAATCTTCTTTACAGCAGTTTTAAGTACAATTATAAATTTACCTCTTACTCTACGGTTACAACATAACTCTCTTCTTTCTATAATCTATCCTGTTTAATCATCAAAACCATAATTATATTTTTTTCTGTTTTACTCAAAAAGTCCATAAGAGGTTTCTATTCAGCATTAAATGTAGATACTGTCTTTTCTCTGATCAAAGAAGTTAGTTTAGCCATCTCAGCAAGTTCCATCAACTTCACCAACCATTCCTCCATTGTGGGTAATGCCAAATCTTTCCATCTTTGTGCACACAATAATCTTGCTGCAGCCATCGTATACAAAAACAAAGTTCCATGACTTTTTCCAACTGTTTGTCCATCAATTTCAAAAGAAAAACCTCTGGTCTCAATTGTATATTAATCTTTGAAATCCTCTGAATCAGTGTATGCATTTGAATCCACAATCTTCTAGCTTTTTTGCACATCCACCAAGCATGATAAAATGGCCTTCTTGTTCACATTCCCAACATAGATTTGAAGAACCTTTATACATTCTAGATCATTTTTATCATGTCATATACCAACAGTACATCATTTTATAAAAGTTCTCTTTAAGATTATAACATAGTGTAAATTTCAGTCCTTTCAAACACATATTGTTTCATCTGTATATTATAACCAAAAATTTTAGCCTACTTTACCATATATTCTTTCACTTGTTCTTCTGTTTCAGATTTCAACAGAGGTTTGTGCATTTTAGCAATTACATATTCATCATTTGTACATAATTCTATTTCAAACTCAGTCTTACAATGTTCAAAACCACAAACTCTTTTATCTACTTTAAATCTTTCTAGTAACTTTAAATAAGAAAACCATTGACAACTATATCCCTCTGCCACCAGTTTTTCTCTTGATTTTATTTTACATTATATGTAGATTACCATCAGATTATATTCTCCATCCTAGATTGGATTGTAGGATTAAATTTGTCTTGCATTATGAGAATGAAAGCAGGAAAATTAACTCCTTAACTCTGTTTGGAACTTATTGACCAACACAATTGTTCCACGTTACTATAATACTGAATATTCACTGCCCAAACTATGCTATGTAGCAATATTACTACCAAGTATGAGAACTTGTTATGACCAATTAAATCTTGTATAAAATTTTGGAAGCATTGCAACAGATATTCCACTTTCCACTGAATGTACAGTTCCCTGGATCACAATCTATAATTTAACATTCCCATTTTTATATCTGTGAAGCATGGAGAACACAATTTATAGCTCAGACTATTTGTCATGTCCTAAAAATGAAAAATTAGGGCTACTTCATTTAATTTTTACAGTTATTAATATGTAATGATTAGTTGAACTTTAAACATCTCCAATAATTAATGTTAGCACTTATGAATCCTATATACTGTATAAACTGCCAAATGGGACTCATAATAATATTTTATTAATAATACACCAAGAGCTAACCTTTCTTGCATTTGTTCTAAAAAAATAAATAAATAAATGGCTACCATGGGGACCAATTGCAGTGTATGTTTCCACTCCAGAAAATTAATAGTCATAGACCAAATTTCAGAAACCCCTTTGACTTCTTGAAGTATCTTCTTCCTAATATCTATTCACGTGAGAAGGTTATGCTTAAACTCTAATGTTTATATGATCCATGTGAAAAGTTTCATGCTTACCTTAATACATCAGCAAAGACTTACTTTTGCTTAAGCATTGTGATTTGAACTTTAGACTTAAAGGATCCCTGGTGTAACTTGTCACAAAATCTGGTATTCCTTGTTCATACTGCAAATGGGGGAAAAAAGCAAAGAAGGAAGATATGGTTTTGCTGGCAAGCAACTCTGAAGAGATGATTTGTGAATTGTCTTCCAATTAGGCATTCACAATGGTTCATTAGAACAGCAAAAATTTGCCATACTGGTAAGTGGTTTTGTCTTTTCGTAACCTGCTGCTGTGACACTCTGATTTGAAACAGTAATTTTTTTGCTCCTCTCTTGCCCTTATTTCAGTTTAATTAGTTGGTATTTATTTGTTCAGGCTTTTTTCTGCTTTTTTAATCTCGAAGTTGCTTTGGCAGCTCTTTTGAATAATAACCATAAAAAAATAAACAAATTAATAATAAGCAATCAAGGAAACAGGTTCAAATTATCCTACTTTGGACACATTATGTGAAGACGCAGCTCTTTGGAGAAGGTTCTAATGCTGGGAAAGGTGAAAGAAAAGAGAAAAAGAAGATGACCAGCAGCAAGGTCTAGTGTCTAGTCCAGTTGGGTCTAGTGGTTAAGGCACCAGACTAGAAAGCAGGAGACTCTGATTTCTAGTCCCACCTTAGGCATGAAAGATAGCTGGGTGACTTTGGGCCAGTCCCTCTCTCTCAGCCCAGATCACCTCACAGGGTTGTTGTTGTGGGGAAAATAAGAGGAGGAAGGAGTATTAGGATTGTTCACTGCCTTGAGTTATTTATAAAAATAATAAAGGTGGGATTAAAAAAAATCTAAAGTGGATAAACTCAGGTACATTAGCAATTAGTGCCATGTTGGAAGACCTGAAAGACCAGGTTAGGGACAGATCATCATGGAGAAAATTTATCTATGCGGTCACTAAGAGTTGACAACAATTTGATGGCGTGTAATCAATCAATCAATCAATCCTGGAACTGGTTAGAATTACCTTCAGGCTACTAGAAATGGTTGAAGATTGTATTTGTTCTTCCTCTTAAAGTAAAAGGACCTGATTTCACACTTTTGAAGCTAAACCAGAGAACAGAGCGAAGTTATCCTTCAGTTTTCATACTTTGCAGTTCAGGAAATGTGCTAATAAATGGTAATAAAATGCATGTGTGGGGTTATGGTGCATAAAAGAAATGAACATTCAAGGATAAGATTTGGTGAAAAGTGGACTACAGTAATGTGAATATGTGTATTTGTGTTGTTTTCAAATCACAGGCTGATGAATGAACGTATGCAAAACAGACATAGAACAGAAACAGCTGAGATTTTTATCCCCATCGGTTACTGCTAAATTTTCAGCTAACAAATCATACGTTCATATGTTTAGAGGCTCATAAAACAGTCCATTAATAATATATCATCCTTTTAAGACACAAATAGGTTTCCCAGTTAGTCTGGTGTTTTGATAATGAACTACTAATCTTAGCCTTTCTAACTTCTTCAGTTAATCATCTCTATATATTATACAGATATAAATGTAGATGTAGATATAGATATAGATATGATACAGTTCCATATCGGCCATGCTTAAGTGCTTGTAATAGATTTCATACCAAAAGCCCCACAATTTATTCTAATCCAAAGTAGGATTTTAATTCAAGAAGGTATTACTGGAAGAATTTGATGTCCTAGTATTGATCTTGTAATGCTCTATAATTATCTTAGAGTATGTCCTATATTTTTAAAGATCTCCATTACATAAATAAGTTAAATTATCTGAAGCTGTTCGAATAAGTTTTCGAATAAGTTCGAATAAGTTCGAATAAGACATGTAAAATGTCATGACCGCATTGATAATAATAAAATCTATTTCTCCTTTACATTCAAATCTAGACAATAAGCAATGATTTGGCTAGATGGCTAAAATCAGTAATGGATTGGACTGGAGATGAGCTGCTTATAGGAGTTCAGTCCAGGTAACATGGATATACAATACAGAATATAGAAAGGATTGTTCAAGGTGATGGTGTTCAATTTATTTTGGATGGAATTATTCTGTCCCTTAAAATCAAGTTCATGGTATGAGATCTAGCCCTGTCTTAGGTTAGCTACTCAGCTGGGCATCTTCCAAAAAAGACAATTACCTTGATTACTTTTGTTCATGCTCCAATAACTGTAATGAACTGTACACCATGCTACTTATTATTTCCTCATTCTGATCTAATGCTAGTTTTTATTTTAAACCATGCATGTTTAAAACACCATAGGAAAAATACTGATATATCTTAAGATTAATTTTTTTTTAAAATCACAGCACACAGAGGTTAAAATACTACATTTGCTTGTTCATTTCTTTAAAAACCCTTTATATCAGGTGCTTTCCACATAGATTAAAAATTGAGGAAATTATAATATTAGAAAGCCATGTTATGTTATAAAGTATTTGTTCTATTTCCTAAGGTGAATATAATTTATTTTAATCTTTCAGGTCAATCCTGGACAGGAAGGAATGCATCCAGGTTGTCATTAAATAAATAAACAAAATACCCTTTGAGTCAAGTTTGTCTTTTGATGACTAAATGGACATCAACGTGTAGTTTTATTGGTATCGGTACAAAAATCACTTGCCAGTGCCTTCTTTTGGCTGTTTTTTCAACATCCCAGTAGAGCCTACTGTCCTGGAATTGTTAGCAATCTCTCATTCAAGTACTAACACAACTGACTGTACCTAACTTTTGGGGGGCAATCAGTCAAGGTTGTCTAGAGACTAATAAGTAAGCTGACAAAACATCCTTAATCACAATGATAAATTTCTATTTGGTACATCTCGATGAGGTACCATGTTGTCTCCAGATTCTAACTACAGTAGCAATTGTGCAGGCAGAAAGTCAATACAAATGAGTTGCATAGAGACATCCATATGAAAAACATTATGGAATATAGAAAAAAAGTCAGTGAAATAATTTCCATATGTGAATCATTTCAAAAGCAGCTCTTGCATGAAAACATTACATTAGAAAATGTTATTGTTTCAGCTGTGTTCTCAAAGCTTCACAGCAATAAAAGTAATATTACTAATTTAAAAATATCACAAAAGGGCTAATCAGCTAATTCATGCTGTGAACGAGTAGAGAAAAATAATGTAACTTAAGTGGGAGAAATAAATTCAGGTTGAACTAGTCTATTTAAAAGTACTTGAGTCTAATAAGAAAACTGAAAATTCTCCAGGCACCAACCGAGCATGGTGACTGAAGATAAATATTCCAATAGTCAAGAATTTTCTGAGAACCCCTGAGGCTTCAAACAATTTTTCAAAGGCTATTATGAGCCACATCACACACACACCCCCCCCAAAGGAAAGTTAAATGTGACCCACAACACAATCTTAATTTGGTCAAGACTTTTGCTGCAAGTGTGCTATCTTGCAGAGAATGTACCTCCTCTTTGTTGGGGGGCATTTACAGATCAAGATGCCAACCAAGACAACACAATAAAAGTCTGTTCTTTTTTATATGTATTGTGTCTGCCACTCATGTTCATAAGAGGGCGAGGCTTTGAATGAGTGGCCAAAGCCACCACCTTGACTTTTTTGATGCCCTCCATGGATGCCCTGTCTTTGTTATTATTTTGTAGCTGATACCAAAAAAGGGTCCATATCAGTTGTATAAGATAGCACAGGTTCCTCTTTGAAGATAGGTAATTGTTTCAGTCTCAGTTTACTTTTACCTGTCTGTAATCATATGGTTTGGGATCTTGGTATTTGTTGCTTTTAAATTTTCCCATCTTCACAAACATTAACTTGGCTTCATGGGGGCCTACATGAGGAAATCTGGTAATGATCTTTGTGTGCTTGTTCTCTTCGATGACTGGGACAATCAGTCCTGATCTTATTCTATGCAATTCCTCATAGAATGTCTTCTTTTTTTTCTTTTTTTTCAGCTCTTGGGGCTTTCCAATTGGCTTGCTTGGAGTTAAATACAGTTTATAGCTAAAATCAGGTGGCTGCTTTATCCAGCATTCTCCTTCTGGAGGGACTGTGTGTTGCTGTGATGTACGGAGTTTATTTCGTTCAAATGCTAACTCCAGATTTGTAGCAAACTTTCCTTTTGAATCAAAAGAACATTTGGGTGGGCTCTTGATAGGGGTACTGGGAAACACAGCATACTTCTCCCTCAATGTCTGAAAAAAGTTTTTAAAAATGAAGTTCATTATTATTGGTTATGCTTTCAGTACTCTATGGCACTGAATAAACATATTATTATTACTATTATTAGTCTAAGATCAACATTTGGGATATAATATCACAGGAACTCTCTCCCAAGTACACTCACAATATTCTCTACAGTGGACATTATTACACTTATATTAGAATTGTCCTTCAATAAAACATCCTCAGAACTAATAACATTAAGGTATAGAAAACACTGGAGTTGTGGCCACATCTCAAGCTTATACAACACCGGCATTCCCAGTGAAAACTTGGTAGAGAAACAAAAATCCTACAAACAAAATCGCAGGAATGCCGTTTAACCAAGTTGTGGAAGCTCATCCAATAACAGTTAATGAAGAGAAACAGACATTGGATTTTAGTTTTCTTTTTGCAGAGCCTCAACTAAAGTAAGAATGAAAACTCAGTATTATAAAAATAGCTGTTTTGAGGTAGAATGGCATAGAACCATCAGTAATAAATATATGAAATCACCAGCTAGCCTGTAGGCTAGGCAGGCTGTGATCCAACAAAATGGTGAGATATAGAATGTAGACTCTAATGGTCACTCACATGACTTCCCCTGAAATGAGCAAATACATACTTTAAAAGGTAACCATAGTAATTTAGTGACAGTAAAATGTAGAATGGAATTGAAAATGTTAAGAGGTTCTACTTACCCTTGCCTTTCTCAAACTGCTCATACTGTATCACACTTTTCTTCAAAGTGTTAGAGAAAACCAAGCAAAGAGAAAAACTCACAGTGGTGTTTGATCTGGAAGATATTTATGCCTTTTTGTGGTACAAAGAAGCTTGGGTACATAATTGTATTCAAGCCATCTGGGTTGCTAAGAAACAACAATTTTGCCTTAAGACTCCATTCACAATTTACATTTAACCCCCCCCCCCCCGAAAATAGCGTCTCTGATGGCTGAATAAGGTTAATGTGAAACCTGGCAACAGGGACACTCGTTCAAGGACTTTATTTGAACTGCTAGAAATCAAAAAGTAGAAAAAAGAAGCTATTCAAGAAAAGAAAAATATGCAGGATCCCCTTATTTTTCTTAATGAGATTACAAGGAAATATTATACATACTATATTATTATCATCATTATCACCACCACCACCAC